CAAGCAGTATAAATATAAAGATTTCCTTTTAAATACGCAATTACCTGATCAATTTCAAACCATAAAAAGTTCAACTGTTAATTAATTTTAAACAGTTTTTTATAAAATACTCGGTTGAATATTTAATTTTTATACTCGTTTGTTCAGAAAAGACAACGATTAGACGATTTCTACAAGGACATTGTTATCTGCAAAGAGAGTCGTTTTTCCTTCCAAAAGATACACAAGAGATGCAAAGACACGCACTAGACGTTAAAATAAATAAAATATACTCGATTTAGAAATGTAACATAGCACAGTTTTTATGACAGAAGATTTGACAGATTCGGTCTTTATACAGGACTATTTAAAGCAGAAGTTGTACAAAAACCGATCTTAGTTTTGTACAGGATTTTATGAAGATAAAGTGACCCCCAACCACTCTTCTCAAGACAAACTTCGATTTAAATACAAAAAAAAATGCAAATGAGCAAGGGCCAAAAAATTGCCACACCTCGATAGCGGTGATCATTTTTCAAAGAAATTAAAATTGCTCTATCGAGCCTATATAGAAAAAATTTTTGATATTGAATCATTTAGTGGTTAACAAATAACTTCAAAATCGCCTAGTAAAACGCTCAGTGGAACTATGGTGGGACGTAGGCAGAAGGAAAATCAAGGAAGAGGTTGGATATAAAAAGAGAATAGACAAAGTGAAAGGGGATAACTGAAGAGAGCAGCCGAGCCAAAGGATGATTGGAAGCCGATGCTGTATAAGCTCAGAGCCTGACTTAGATTGTAGCTCTATGGGAGAAAGAGAATAACTTCGAGTTAAAATCTAGTATTGCTTAACGCGACACATTAGTTCATTTAAGTACAGAATAGATCAACAGGGCGCAATGATAAGGCAGTAATAGTAATGCCATAACATTTCTGCGTATTCTGTTTAAAGCTCTAAATAAAAAGAAATGTAAATTTTAACAAGATAATTTGCAATGAGAACAGCTGTTGCTATGATTCTGAAGAGAATCATTTTAATTACCTAGGATAATATTCAAACCTCGATGTAATTTATTACAAAGTTAACAGGTTTCGGCATACCTATATGCGGAAACATTTATATAACATTTAATAACAAGACCAAAAACGATGTAATGGTAAAACTGTAAAAGACAATGACCACATCAACTCTATTATATGAATATAAAACTTGAGTAATGAACCTGAGTAATGAAGCAAAGACGTAACTCTAGAATCTAAGTCAAAGGAAGAGTGAGTTGCATTAGAAGACATGGAAGACTTGATAAACAGAGAAAAAAAAGTATGACAAAAACAGAATATTTACTTGATCCATGAGAAAATAAAATAATTTACAACAAAAAGGGAAAGAGAAACAAAACAATTACGAACTCATATGAATAAGAAGTGTAAGACACACCATAAACATATTGCAAGTAATGCACAAAACAGCAAAAGAGAATAAAAAGAGGAAAGACCGGCTCGACATAGAGTGCCAAAAAGAAATAGAACTAAGAAAATCAGAATAGAAAACAACAGAGCCAAAGAATAGATATATGGAGCAAAGACAAAAAGCAAAGGGTGCTGAGAGGAAAGAAGAAAAGCTAAAAGAAATAGAAGAGAGTTACAGAAATAAAGAAATAAAAAACCAATCAAGGTGCTAGAAACGAAAAAAGAGGTTTCCAACAAAAACCTCGTTTTTTTTCGAGTATTCGTTAAAAACAAAGCTGGAAACAATATAAGCGGTGAAGCAGAAATAGTCGAAGATGGAAAGAGTATTTTGATGGATTACTAAATGGCCATAATAAGTCAAACTAAAGAGAATGTATTGAAGCAGAAGAAAGAATCGAACACTTAGAGGACATAGAAGATGATTCACCAGCAAAGAACAAATCGAGGAAATCATAAAAAATCTGAAAAACAATAAATGCCCTGGAATCGATAACATAACAGCGGAGATGATGAAATATAATGGAAAACTGCTAAAATGATTGGATATACAAGATCATAAAGGAGATATTGATAAAAGAATGAATACCAGAAGATTGGAAGGAAGCAATTATTTGCCCATTACGCAAAAAAGAAGACAAAACAGAGTGCAGTAATTACAGAGGAGTAGCATTACTAAATACCGTATATAAAATCCTATCAAAATCCATAAAAGAAGCTAGAAACAGAAGTTGAAAATATAATAGGCGAATATCAGTGCGGATTTAGACGAGGGAGAAGCACAACGGACCAAGTATTCATAATCAGAGAATTACAAGCAGAAAGCTATGAACACAACTTACCAACTATAGCGCTATTCATCGACTTCCAGCAAGCATACGATACAATAAAGAGGAAGGAATTAAAAGAGACCCTTAAGGAAATGGAAGTTAGCAGAAAGTTGCGTAACATGATACATCTTACTTTAAAGAATACGGAAAACAAAGTCAAAGTAAACAATCATTCATCGGATAAATTTATAGTAAACGAAGGATTAAGGCAGGCGATCCTTTGTTATCATTACTCTTCAATTTATGCCTAGAAAAAATAATGCGAAAAGCGAAAATCAATAGAGAAGGCCTTCTATAGCATAAAAGACACCAAGTTTTGACATTTGCGGATGATGTAGTGTTGCTGGCAATAGAAAAAAAAGAGCTACAGGAGAGAGTATAAACAAAAGTTTAAAGTAGATGTAGAAGAAGAATCATCATACGAATTCGAAATGGGTAGAAAGATTTACATACCTAGGTGCAATAATATCACGTCAACCTAACATTAAAAAAGAAATACAAGCTAGAATAATGGCAGGCAATAGAACTGTACATGCTCTTAGTGGAATGTTGAAAAGCAAGTTTTTATCAAGAAAGGCAAAAATACAGTTATACAAACCAACTATACAACCAATAGTAACATACTGCAGTGAGACATGGACAACGACAAAAAAAAAACAAAATTTACTGGAGATATGGGAAAGGAAAATCTTGGGAAGATATATGGAGGAATAATAAGGAATGGTTTATGGATAAGAAGATCAAATGATGAAATAAGGAAATTATATAATCAACATAATATAAGAGGAGTCATAAAGGCACAGAGGCTAAGATGGACTCCAAGGACTCCAAAAAGGGTACTAAACTACACTATAGCTTCAAAAAAGACAAGCCAGAGAAGTTATATTGAGACAGAGAAGGATCTCAGTACATAAAGAAAAGCGAAAATGAAGAAAGAACTTGAAACATTTCAAGCCAAGGGCATCTAAGGCCTTTAGTGCTATTGTATACCTATATATCTATGATACACCATGAACAGATAAAGCAAAGTTTCATGGCTGAACCGGTAAGAAATCCTAACCCTGCAATATTAGAGAGCTTAAATCAAACCTGTTAAAAGTTTAGATATGAATTATCGAATAGAAAAAATTGCAGAATCCGAAAAAAAGGTGTAAAGCATTAATGAGTTACTCCAATATGTCGATTGAACAGGAATATTTTTCCAAATATTAAAAAAAATAAAAGTGGCAACAATTTCTCCAATATATAAAAAAGATAAAAAAATGACATTCAAAACTACAGATCAGCCTGTTAAATAGTATTGCTAAGATTTTTGAAAGTATTCTGTATGATGATATATTGAGCATGTTAAGAGTAAAAATCAGCAAATTCCAGCATGGTTTTATAAAAGACAAATCAACAGTAGGTAACTATTCTCTGTGTTCTCTCTGAACATTTTGCTAAGGCTATTGAGGCAGGGAACAGTTGGACGTTCTGTATACTGATCGCGAAAAAGCATTTGATAAGGTAAATTATTGTATTCTTTTAATAAACTGGTACAGTTTGGTTTCTCAAGCAAAGGATGACTCAAATGTGTCATCCTCAGGAGTCTCACATGGGAGCAAACTAGGACCATTATTTTATTTATTAACCACTTGTCAGACTGTATTAAATCTGTGTAATAGCTTAATATATGCCGATGATTTTAAACTTTTTAAACATTCACTAATAAGAAAGATGCAGTAAAATCGCAAGATGATCTAAGATCAGTTATTCAATGGTTTAACGATTCAAAAATGACTATTTTAGTTAAAAAGTGTGCAGTAGTTTCATATACGCGAAAACTTAATAGTGTTATTGAAGATTATTATATTAATGATGATCGAGCCGAAAGAGTGAGTGTTATGAAGGATCTTGGAGTTAAATTCCAAATCAACATGAAGTTCAATATACACTTCTATGAAATAACTAACAGAGCTTATCGTGCTTTGGGTTTTGTCATTAGAAATGGCAAAAATTTCAGAATAAGCACAATTATAAAACTCTATAATGCCCTGTTGAGACCACATATGGAATATGCTTCAATCATCTGGTCTCCTACTGCATTTTCAAACTCAGAAATGATTGAAAAAGGGAAAAAACGATTTTTAAGATTTCTATATCTAAGGAAAAATAAGAAATATCCATATACGCTATCATACAGATTAATGTTAGACTCATTTCAGTTGCAGTCATTTGTCATTAGAAGAAACAGTCAGGCTATTATGTTCATATACTTGATTGTTAACAGTAGTAAGTACACAAAACAGTATTAAGTACACAAACTGTGGTTTAATTGAGTTTATTTACTTTAGAATACGCAAGACTAGTTTAACAATAACTAACCTAGATCTTTTTTTCACATTACTATAGAATCTTATCACCAATAAACAATATGTTAAAAATTTGTAATGAAATATTTAATAGACCAACTCATGTGGATATATTTAATGTAATGTCTTAAATACTTTACATGTAATTACTATTAGTATAGTGTTTGTAAGGTGTCTAAATAAATAAATATTATAGTAACTGGACAGGAAAAACAAAAAGTTTTTAAATGTGTTATTGCTTGTTGAAAATCTTAAATATTTCTAGATGATTTCCTAAGCATTTTCATTAGATCCGGTCATAAGTTTTCAGATTTTGTAATGATCAAAGTTTCCGTGGTTGATTTGTACACAATTACTTAAAAAATAGACTTACCGGCACTACTCTCCCCCGCCGAAGAATCAAAAGTCTTCGAAGTCATCTGGAAGAGCGCGTCCAGAGGAGTAGCTCCAGGCTGCTTGCCCTGCTGTTGCTGCTGGTGATGCCTCTGCCTCTGCACGGCAGCGGGAATGATATCTGGCGAACAACAATCGCTGGCTACACTAGAAGACCGGTCACTACCAGTTTCAGAAGTATAACTAACATTAAACGCAAACTCCGGCCTCAGAAGCGCCAGTTGTTGGACTTTTAATTGTCTATGAAACGATTCCAGCCTTTGCTGGTGGGCTTCCATCTCTGGATCTATATCCCAAGGCCTTACGATGCGGTTGCATGTCGGTTTTGCGGGTTTGTGGTTTAGGATGTCGGCTATGGAGAAGCTTTTTACCCCGTCCTGTCGTTCCTCTACGTCTACCGTCGGAGAAAGTCTTCGTTCTGTTTCTACCTCGACCATTTTTAGTTTTTTCAACGGTTTGAAGTAGTCTTCTGACTCCTCGGGGCATCTACAATTTGTAGAGAATGTAGAACTGTTGTCTATCGACTGTCTGAAATTCGGGGATGTATGTAAGGCAGGACTAGGACATCCGACAGATATTTCGTCATCCGACATATATTTTTGTTCGTTAGCTTGAGCCGAAGGCAAATTTGGACTAGGAGATCTCGAGGAAATTGGACTTTCGTACTTGGATCCTAAATAGGGCGACATTTCATTAACGTTACTCGGAGAATTTTCAATATCTTGCATTTTTTAAGAAAAAAACACTAACAGTCTTTGCAACACATTGTTCCACACGATAACTACAAGTCACTTAGTCACTATAGCACCGGTTGTCAGTTGAAGAAACGGAAAAAACGTCAAAGCGCTAAGAAGGTACCAACAACACCTTCCTATCTTTAACAGATCTGGTAACAAGTGAAGGCCTACATGCCAATCTACTCCCGCTGTATCTTTAACTCGCCCCGCCTGCCATTTAAACGCCCGACCAATCGCCGCGGCACAGGAAACCAGAATTCCTTTATAAAAATGCCGCCCGTAGCCGGCATTGGTGATGGGAGGGGCGAACGGCGGTATGTTTCATCTGTCATGCCCACCAATCATTTGTCTAATTTGCAGACTGGCGTTTATATCATTTGTTGGAGTGGAGATAAATGAGATTTAGTTTGAGCTTGTGCTTAATGTAAATTATTTTGCTTTATGGCTTTTTACACTTTAACTGCTTTATTGCTTGCGGCTGTAAATTCGGGTTACGTCATGGAAGACGGTAATAAGTTTCGGAATTACGGGAGGAACACACTAAAAACCATTTGAGCCTGATTTCGACACATTAGCTACAGGGAAAATGCAGAAGATAACCTGTTAAATAACGAACAACTATAAACCACAAATAAAATAATTGATTACAGAACAAAAACAACAATACAAAACATTCTTACTTCAACAAATAATATTATAGGTGCTATATACTTCAAAACACTTTTATTAGAAGTCATTGTAAATATTTTGGAGAGGGAAAAATGGAAAAAACTTTTGAATTTTTTCTTTGCCGGAACAAGTTGGTGATAATAGATTGATAGATCGATAATTTATTGGTAATTATAATACACAAAGTACTTTAACTTAAGTCAAATATAAATACAGTGGGTGATAAAATTATTACGATCACTGCAAAAAACTTTTTATTTTGGTGTTTAATAAAAAATACAAATACAAATAAGCATTTAATGATGTGAGAATAATAGGTATCAAAATAGATCAAGAACACGTTATTTTATAACATTTAATTTTTTTGTTTTTTTTTTGGCCTTAACCCTTAACCCTTTCAATCCTGATTTGTTTATTTTAAAATTTGATATATTTGTCTGTAGTTTGTTGTTCTAGAGCATTTAAAAGAACTAAGAATGTATTTAAAAAAAATTATTTTTAATTTTTTTTTTTTGGTAAAAAATGCATGGGATTATATATCTTAACAGTATTTTTGTATGGGATATATAATCCCAACAGTATACATGAACAATAAATGTTTATACATGATATGGGGTGAAACAATCGTTACATAACGGAACATCACACGTTTTACAAATAAATTTGGTACGTTTATCTTTCTTATGTTGTGTACACCTTATACACCTCAAGCGACTGGATTTTCCTAATATAGGTAAATGGTCGCCAACATTACTCATCACTGTGGCTGACATGCTTCGACGGCCAACATGTTTGGTTTTTTTTCTTCTTTGGAGTCCTTGTTGGCCAGTACTGATAAGAATCTCAGCTAAGTCAACCAGATAATTTAGAAAGGGTATTTTCTTATTTCTGGTATGTAATTCAGTATATAGAATATATGAATTGTATACTGCCATCATTAGAACTTTGTAGTAAACCTTCTTCCACCATTTTTGGGATTTTCTATTGAGATCGTACACAGATGTCATTTGATCGCATCTATCTACACCTCCCATGTAACGGTTATAGAATTCAATCGATACAGGACAACAAATGTTGGCTTTTGTACCATCTTTCAGTTTTCTACACACAGTTGTTTCTTCTGGCTTATGGCAGTTAGTTAGTACAATAAAATCTTTTGTGTCCTGCCTTCGTATAGCTAATGTTCCAGTTTCATTACCTTTTACTTGCGATTCTCCTCGATTTAGCTTGCCATGAAATTTCGGTAAATTTTTTCGGGTACTCATGCCATGCATGTACCTACAGCAGGAAACATAATGGTATCCATAAGATGAACTGTTGTAAAAAATCTATCGAAGCAAATTACAACATTTTCATTAGAAATTGTTGAAGATAACTGATTTATGACACGTTCTCTCAAAGTACCTGCCATCTTATTATCATTTTGCCTGCATACACATTTATATCGTAAACATAGCCAGTTTCCGAATCGCATCTTGTCCATAACTTTATGCCACGTTTTATGGGTTTGAGGGGCATATACTGTTTCAATGTAGATCGCCCTTTGAATTTTGCCATAGACTCATCAATTGCTTGATAGGTAGAATCACTTCTAGCTCTCATAAAACTTGTCTTCAAGCAGGAAATAACATCATCTATATAATAAGTTTTATTTGCTGTGGCAGGTTGATTGGGTTCGGCAAAATACAATTTTGATAATAGTAGTTGGCACCTATCCCTTGATATTGCACTACGAATACAATCGTTTCCAAGCGATTTATTATTAGACCAGTACATTGCGAAAGAAGGAACTCTATTATAATGCATAACTAACGTAACACCAGTAAGTAGCATCATTTCTTTTTGGCACGTTTTGACAAAAGTTTTCTTCTTTTTCTCTTCTAAAATTTCAAGCCTACGGTTTGTACACTGGGCCATATACATAAACAAACTTTTAGGAAATGCTTTTAGAAAACAGTCTAATCTAGAACTGCCTCGATTCAATTGATCTGTAATAACTGGGGCTGTTCTGGCTGGTAGATCATATCTCGGAATAAAATTTTCTGCATTGACATCAGTCCAAACAGTGGAAAATTCTGAACTAGTTGGTGGCAAAGGTTGCATTACCACGTCTGCATCTTGGATATCTTCATCATCGTCAGAGGATTCCTGATCTGAAATTTGAGCTGCATTCTCAGTTTCATTACCTATATTCACTTCACTTTCAAGTGAACTTGCTCACTTAGTTCATCTGATGACAAAATGAAGTCCTTATCCACCATACTATCATCAGTACTATAGTCTATACTTTCAATTTCATCAATGTTATTAGCATAGTAATCAAGTTCATCTTCGGTAAGTTTCTGTTTCTTTCGATCCATACTAAAAAAAGGAAGTTGTTTATACCTGTCGGGATAATATTTCCCAGCAAAAACACCTGTTGGGATATATAATCCCATTCAAGATTTATTGCCCATTACGATAAATTTCGTACTGAGCGGCAATATTAAATTATGTACTCACCTATCTTAATCTTTTATAATTAACAATCAGCAACCAAAATTATCCTTACGCCAACAGAAATATGTTATCAACACAGTTTTATATGATCGTACTCACAACGTGTTCATATTACACTAAATTTTAGGTTAAAATTTGATGCTGACGGTGGATACTCGATTTCACGTTATAAGAAATGCCACAGTCTACTGAAATATCCCGTCCCAACGCAGTTTTAAGCCAGTTTAAAACATTCAGAATTTTTCAATCATGTGTTGGGATATATATATATATATATATATATATATATATATATATATATATATATATCCCGACAGGAGTGAAAGGGTTAACTGGTGACTTGCCGTCAAAGTGACGTAGGGTAAGGAAAGGTATATTGGTGATAAAAATGAAAAATACTAATCATATAGGAATTCGAAAACTAAGCAAGAAATAAGTTTTGCTTTATCACGTTACTTATTATTTGAAGTAAATGTTTAGAAGAGTTATTTTAACAAAAAAAAATGATTAATAATGATAGTAAATGTCAAATTAACATACAAACTTATGTTAGGTAACTTGGTGACACGGTAAGGTATATTGGTGATAGTGGTTAGGAAATTTGGTGATATTATGGAAATTGTTAAAATTTTTATTCCATACAACGATCACATCTATAATAAAGTTTTTCATCGGCGTCATTCACTTCGATAGATATGCAAATCTCGTGGTATGGTATCAAACAAGATGAGCACTGAATCCATTGGTCTCCATTTCTTTTCTTAACATCAGTTGAATACAGGATTCCACATAAGCAACACTCCCCACAATCATCTATTTTACTTTTTTTTGCTTTTTGGACAGATTTGTATGAAATCGAGGGCTGTTGCTGAAGATTTTCTGTTACTGAAGCGTTTTTATTTGTCGATGTTAAGCATTTCGCACTTAGTCCCTTTTTCTTGACCTCTCTGGACGTTTTGAAGCTGTTGGTGTTTTCCAAAATATGATCGACTGTGGCTTTAGGACTTAAAATAGAAGTTTCAGGTGCTGCGTCAGTTGAAACTGGAGAAGCAGGAGCTATGTCAGTTAAAAATGAAGGCCGTAATGCTTCTTTTGGAATAACATCTCCGTTTAAAGGATATATGCCTGTTTTTTTTTAAAAGCATTCTCAATGTTTTTATTTGTAAAGCTGGATTCAAAATGGAATGGAAGTTGCTACAATTTGGAGCATCCATAGGGTTTTTGCTCATATAACGATTCATGCTATCGCGCCAGTAAGTCTTAAGTGGCTTGAATAGTCCCACGTCAAGTGGTTCCAATAGATGAGTGCAATGAGCTGGGAAAGTAAATAGGTAAACTTGATTATATTTTACTATTTTCAAAACTTTAGCTCTAGTGTAGGCAGAATGAGAGTCCATCAACAAGACTACAGGACGTTCAGACGTTAAAAAAAATTTAACCATTCGAAAAACAATTCAGAATTGATCCATCCTTTAGGAGAGAGATGGCCAACCCGCGGCACGCGTGCCACTCTGTGGCACGATTGAGTCCTATCAGTGGCACGCGCATTGTTTCTTTAAAATTTTAAAAGTATTTGTTCGATATGTCCACGAGTAAGCCTTCGACTTCAAAACGAAAATACGAAGATGATATTGCAATTCGCGATTTTCAACCTGCTTGGGAAGAACAATTTTTATTTACTAATCGTAATACTTCAAAGCCTGTTTGTTTGATATGTGGATTGTCTGTAGCAGTTCCGAAAAAATTTAACCTGGAACGACATTATAAACGACTGCATAAGCACTTGAGCAACAAATATCCTGTTGGTTCACATTTGCGAGCCG